AGATTTCAATGACATAGCTTCTCAGGGGAAAAACGTAGTCTCAGCCTAACCCTCTCTCATGCTCGAACCCGTAAGTTCAATGCCAGAATGAATAGGTGTAATCTGTTGGATTTTGGGTGCTCTGGGCCCCAACTCACTTGGTCCAATGGAAGGCAAGGACATGCTAACACATTGGAGAGACTAGACCGTGCTGTTTGCAATTTTGAATGGTGTATAGCTTTCACTGAAGGTGCAATTCGTAATTTACCAAGAACCTACTCTAACCACTCTCCTTTGATTGTGTTCACACAAGGTATGGACTCTCCTAACCCCTTAGCCAGACCTTTCAGATTGGAGGCCGCTTGGCTTACTGATATTACATTTAAATCTATTGTTGAAAACTCTTGGGCTACTAATAATGAATCTATTATTGATACTCTGAATTTGTTCACTAGAAATATTTCTGCTTGGAACAAAAATCATTTTGGCAATATTTTTTGAAAAAAAGGTGGCTTCTTGGACGTATTGAGGGCATCCAAAAAGCCCAATCCTTTGTTTATTCCCATAATCTATTCTTACTTGAAAAAGAACTTGTTAGGGACTATAACAATATTTTGTACCAAGAAGAGCTATTGTGGTTTCAAAAGTCCAGGGCTAACTGGATCACCATGGGTGAGAGGAATATGAGATATTTCCACGCCTCTACTATTGCTAAAAGGAGGAGGATGAGAGTGGTAACTCTGAAAAATTCTGAGAATGGGTGGATCACTGACCCCATTGACCTCAAAAACCATGTACACAACTATTTTTGTAACCTTTTTAAGAAAGGTACTAGTGACACTCTGAGTGTTGGCCCTAACCCTCTGCAGGCTAAAATTAGTCTGGATGATAACAGGTCCCTTTGTAAGCCTATTTCTGGTAAGGAGGTGTGGGATGCCATTAAGAGTGTTAAAGCTTTTAAAGCACCTGGTAGTGATGGTATTCCATCCCTCTTCTATCACAAGCATTGGGACATTGTTGGATCTTCTGTTTGTAAGTTTATACAAAATTGCTTTGCCAACAAACACATTCCTGATAGCATGAATAAAACTCTCCTCACCCTTATTCCTAAAGTTGCTAACCCTGAATCTATATCCCACTTCCGCCCCATTAGCCTTTGCAATGTTCTCTACAAAACCCTCACCAAAATTCTTGTTAATAGACTTAGACCCCTTTTTGACCGATATTGTTGGACCTTTCCAAAGTAGCTTTATTCCTGGACGCTCCACCAGTGATAATGTTATCATTGACCAAGAGATCCTCCACACTCTTAAAGGTAAGAAAGGCAATAAAGGTGATATGATTCTTAAAATTGATCTAGAAAAAGCCTATGATAACGTGTCTTGGGAATTTTTATATCAAACTTTAAATAATCTTGGTCTTAATGATCATTGGGTGGATCTCATCATGAATTGTGTCACAAATGTTTCTGCCTCCATTTTGTGGAATGGGGAAAAACTTAAGGGATTTTGTTTTAAGAAGGGGTTGAGACAGGGGATCCCTTATCCCCTTACCTCTTTGTGTTATGCATGGAAAGACTCTCTAATATGATCCTTGAGAAAGTCCATAACAAAGTATGGATAGGGGTAAAAGCATCTAACAGAGGCCCTATGTTTTCTCACCTTTCTTTGCTGATGATCTGTTTTTGTTTGGGAGAGATGATGAAAAGATGTGTAACTTTGTTATGGGGGTGTTGAAGGAGTTCAGTGAGCTCTCGGGCCTTAAGGTGAGCCTCCATAAATCTAAGCTTTTTGTCTCGCCCAATGTGGGGATCCAGAAAGCAAGAGTTTTGAGTAATTGTTGTGGAATTTCCCTCACCCAAGATTTGGGTAAGTACTTGGGCATTCCCATGTTACATGGCAGATGTAATCGTGCTCATTTCAGTCATATAACTGAAAGGATTCAAAACAAGTTGTCGGGTGGAAAGCCAATATGCTTTCTTTGGCTGGAAGGGCCACCTTAATTCAATCTGTCACTTCTGCCCTTCCTTTTTACACTATGCAAACTCTTGATCTCCCTATGAGTATATGCAGAGATATTAACAAACTTAATCGTAATTTTCTTTGGGGAGATTATGAAAATGGCAAAAAAGTACATCTCATGAATTGGGATATGGACTGTAATAGCAAGAAGATAGGAGGGCTTGGTCTGAAAAAAGCTTACTTGTAGAACCTGGCCCTCCTATCAAAGTTGGGGTGGAGATTGTTATGCAATGATACTAGCCTTTGGGTGCAAGTCTTGAAGGAGAAATATCTCCGACATGAGTCTTTTATGAGCTATTCTTCTAAGAAAAGGTCTTCTCACACTTGGAGAGGCATCCTCAAAACAAGATATATCTTGAGGAAAGGTACTCAATGGGGAATGGGTGATAGTGCTACTATATCCATCGGGTTTGACTGGTGGTGTGGAAAGGAAACTCTTGCTACTAAATTTCCAAACCACCAGCTTACCAATAACGCTACGGTGGATGTCCTTATAAATGAGGAGGGCAAATGGGATGTGAACCACATCCGGTCTCATATTCCTAGTAACGCTATTGCAAGTGTTTTAAAAATTCCTCTTCCCCAATTTGTTACCTTTCCTGATAGCCCTCACTGGAAGGGTGGTTTAGGAGGGTTTTCTATGACTGCTGCGTATAAAGCTGCTTCTGGGCAGCTTGAGTGTAATTTGGAGATTGCGTGGGTGTGGAAACTTAAAATACCTCACAAACTGAAAGGTTTCCTACGGTTGATTTGCCATAGGAGACTCTTAACCAATGCTATGAGAAAGAATAGAGGCATGGCTTTGAATGCTAATTGTCCCAGATGTAATTGGCATAATGAGGACATGGATCACCTTCTACGTGGTTGCATTGTTTCAAAAAACATATGGACCAATATTGCTGGTCTGTAGTGGGTGTCAACCATCAACCACCTTAATCTGGTTGACTGGATTAGGAAGGACTTGAAGTCTCATAAGAGGAGTGATCCCCATTGGTGCCGTGTTTTTTTTGTGACACTTTGGCAGATATGGAAAGATAGGAACAAGAAAGTTTTTGATAATATTGAAACTACTGTTTTGAATGCTTGCAACTGTATTCTTAATTATGTTGCAGAGATAAATCATGCTTTCTTATCTTCTATTGTTTATGCTCATAAACCTGCTGATAAGATTATTTGATACCCTCCTCTTGCAAGGAAAATCAAATTAAACACAGGTGGCTGTGCTCGGGGCGATCTAGGAGCAGGGGGGTTTGGAGGCCTCTTTCGCGATGAATCTGGCATTTGGCTGTGCGGTTTTTTGGGAAGTTAGAGACATGCTTTAGCTTGGAAGCAGAAATGTGGGGCATCTACAGAGGTCTTACCATAGTGCTCGAGAAAGGTCTCGCCGAAGTTGTCATTGAGACTGACTCCATCATAGCCCAAGAAATGATCACAAACGGGCCTTCCCCAAACTGCCCGTATAGAGCCATTATGGAAGATGCTCGTCACCTGCTCCAGCGGTGCAATTGTTCCATCCAGTACATTGTGAGAGAGGCCAACCAATGTGCGGACAAGCTCGCCAACATGGGTGCAGATCAAGTGGAGTACTTGCTGGTTATGAAGGAACCTTCTCTAGAAGTTAGAAGCTTGATTGTAGCAGATATGGTGGGCACAGCGTTTTGGAGGCTCTAGCTTAGCTGCCTCTCTTGTCTGTGTTTTTGTTGTTCTGGTTTTTTAATTTCCAATGTACCAGAAAAAAAAATGTACATGAAAATGGGGAGACTATTGTATATCAGTCGCTCTTGTTCTTTCAGTGGGACCAACTCTAGGTTCTATTTTGATAACATGAATTGTTATTTTTAAGAGTGTTATGTAAAAAATTAAATTGCATAGAAATTGATAATATTTGATCAAAACATATTTTTATTCGAATAATGTCATATGTACCAATTAACATATTCATTAGTATACTAATAGATGATGTGGTATAATTTTAGAAGTTTTGGGTATTTATAATTTATATAATTGGTGGGGTCAGTAATAATGGCATAACATTATTGGTACACTAGTGCGTACATTAATTGGTGTATGTAGCACTACCGTTTTTATTCAAGTTAACATTCAAACTCACATCTACCTTCCATTTTATTAGATACAAATGTGCTTTGATCAAAAGGTTACTAATATCCGATTAACTTAAGGTTCGTTTGGGGAGTGGGTTGGCTTTTTCGCTTTTTGGTTTTTTCAGCTATTTTAGCCCGGGGCTAAAAAGTCTGGTTTGGGAATGGCTTTAGGCTTTTTTGGTTTTTTGTAAGAGAAATAATGTAATGATTATGGGTTGCATGTAATTTTTTGTCTTATTGAGTTAAAAAGTCTATTTTGTTTTTTGTGGCTAAATTAGCCAAAAAAGCCCTAACTTTTGCTTCCCAAACAAAGCCTTAATTTTTTACAAAAATATTGTATTTGATGGACTCTAAAAATTGAACGCTCAAATTATCGAGATAGGATCATTGAAAACACAACCGTGACTGTTGTACTAAAAAATAACAATCACCTAACATCCTATATATACCGATATTTATAATGTATATTATTTATGGTATATACACATTTATCAATGTGAGATGATTTCACACATTAGATTTTGCACTTGAATGTCTGCACTGAATTATTCTTTCACAACAATGAAAAGTGAATCATTTTATGGGCTTGATTTGCTGTAAATCATAAAATTTGTATATCTACATTGAATTGGATGTTGATTCGAATAATTGGAACGATGTACCATGTAAACATTCATAATAGATATCATGTACACCTTCGATTTGGATCTTAAAATATTTTGTGGTTTTTGAATGTAAATATCAACATTAAATCTGGATGCCCTATATCTACATTGAATCAGATGTTTGAAACATAATGTTGATGTTTGGTGTTCAAGGTTTGCTTTCTTTGTGACTTTTGTGTTGGCTTATTTTTAATATATTTTTTTAAATTTTTTTTAATAAAATTTAAAAGTTTAAAATTCTATTCAACAAGACGAAATGAAATGTAACATGCTTTCCTTCTAAAATCATGCAGTAGATTGGTTTTTAATTACACTTCCAAAATAGGTGATACGGTTTGAATGGGTTGTATTTGGTGTTTTCCTCTAATGGAGAGAGACATTCTCAATATGGGATTTGTGGGTAAAAAAGCACATAAAATTATATAATTATAACTAATCAAATTACTCTAATACTTTCCAAAACTAACATTCAATAGATAAACCAACTAAATGAAGAAAGGGTCTTGCCATGAGCCACTGGCCACAAAGACACCAAACTTCCTCATGAAATGCGATTTTTCAAATGCGATTTTATATTGACTTGATTTATTGGTGTGTAAATGTGGATCGTGTTAATATGAAATTGCATATTCAATATATGATTTCACCATGAAATCGTATTTTAAACTTGCGATTTTAAAAAATGAGTTAATTTAGTAAATAATTTAAAAAGCTGACTATTTACATAAATAATTTAATTTTTTGGAATATTCACAAAAAAAAAAAATCTTCTTCAAATCCAACACCAAATAACTAGAAAGGCATTTAAACCAGTTTATTTTTTAAAACATTAGTATTATTTTTTGATTAAATATTCTATATTTTAAGACATAAAAATTGGATTTAGATTCTCTCAAGTTGGCCACTCAATTTGATAGAACATTTGGGCTTAGTGGGCCCATTGTAGGGCCAATTCAGTGATCTAAATCATTCAATTTTTAGACATTATTGAATAGAATATTCATATAAAAAATTAAAATGATCAGATATCGACTCAAATTGGGCTTTTACTGCATCGGCTTAGGCCCATGCCTAGCCTTGAACTACATGTAAAGTCCATCAGGGAGAGATATGTCTTATGATTTTATCAGCAATAATCTATAAAGACAGATGTATTCCAAGGAATGTAACAGATGTGAAACAAATAGTAGGTCTCATATGTAGACCCTATATCATGTGGAACTTATCATTAATCTTTCATCTGTATTTCATTCAATGGAACACATCTGTATTGCTAGCAATGCCTCATTAATCTTTCATTTGTATTTCATGCAATGGAACACATCTGTGTTCCTAGCAATGCTCTATTATCAGTGGGGTTAAATTGATTAATTTTTGGAAAAGTTTCTAAATAAAGTAAAATTTTATTTTATTTTTAATATTTTTTCTTCCTATGTTAGATACTTGGGCTATAAATTTAAATTAGGGATAATTATGAAAAAAATATATCAGAATTTGAGTTTGTAACAAAATAAACTATGTGTTTTTAATTTATCAATTTAAACCTTAATATTGTAATTTGCTTTCAATCTAAATCATTAATGTATTTTCGTTAAATAAAATTGACGAAAAAATAGTAGTTTAGTTTTTAAACTCAATGTAAGTATAAATAAAGAGTAATTCTATTTACATACTACAAAATCTCTCAATACACACCATTTCCATAATTTTTTGTATTACGCTTACAGCACTTTATCAAATTACCGTTTTGGACATAATTCTAAACTCTAGACTCT